GGGGATTGAACCGCGGTCCCTGTGCTTTAGCCAAGCTTGTTCCAAGTAGGTGCTTTAGACCACTGAGCCATCTCTCCAGCCCCAACCCCATGTTTTCTAAAAGACCTAGAAAACGTATACCGGGTTCCCCTCCTCTTGCCCTTTGTGTTAGTCATTTTGGCAAATTACTGGAAGATGGCGGTTCCGGCTGAAAGGCGAGACAGTGTCTTGATATATAGTTCAGGGTGGTCTTGAACTCACTATGTAGCCCAGACTGATCTCGAACTCATGGTGATCTTCCTGCCTCAGCCTCCTGAGAGCTGAGAAGATTCTAACAACTTGGGACCTGCTGGGATTACACGCGTGTAAAGAGACTCTTTTTTACTACGGTTTTTCAAGATGTAATCTGCGTTTAGTAAACACTCATCTTTTTAAAGGTGAGATTTGGTAGATATATTTAACAGCGTGAGCACTACCACACTCACTATACAGAACATCTTCCACACTACACAAAGTTGTCTTTATGCTGTGTTTCTCTGCACACAGTCAAGCCTCTCTCCTTACTTCTGGTAACCCCTGATTTGACTTCTTGCCTTATAGTTTTGTTTTTTTCCAGAATGGCGCACAAGTGGAATCATAGACTAGGTAAGCTTTGTGTGTGGCTTCTTCAGCATAACATAGTGCTTCAGAATCTATTCATGTTGCTGCATAGATTGGCAATTTCTTTTTATCATTAAATGCTATTCCATTATATAGATGCATCAGTTATTTTTCCATCCTGGTAGACATTTGTGTTGCTCCAAATGTTGGGTTACTATATGATAAAGCTGCTATAAAGACTTGTATAGAAGTCTTTAAGTTGATTATAGAGTTTTCATTTCTCTTGAGTAAAAATGAGCCATGCGTGGTAGTGCATGTCTGTAATCCCAGCACTTAGGAGGCTGAGCCAGGAGGATGCTCACAAGTTCGAGACCAGCCTGGGCTACAAAGTGAGCTCAAGGCCAGCTTGAGCTGCATAGTGAGACCCTGTCTCAAAAAAATGCAAAATAAATAAGTGTGCAGAAATAAGATTCTGGTTATATGATAAATGTACATGTAGCTTTATCAGAAATACTAAACCGTTTTCCAAAGTGGTTATAATTCTATATTCCCTCTGGCAATGATCGAGAATGCCCATGGCTCTGTGTCCTTGTCAACATTTGGCAATGTCCGTTACGGAAAAAAAAAACTCTGGCAATCCTACTAGGTGTGTGGTATTTCACTGTGGCTGTGACTCGAGGCCCTGTGATGACACTGATGTGGAGCAAGGCGCCACATGCTTGCTTGGCGGCTCTCTGATATCACCTCTGGTGGGGTGGAGTCTTTCAATTTAACCTCCTCACAGTCACAAGGCTCCCACAGAGATTCCAGCAACTTGGGGTCTGGGGGGCTGGAGGAAGGCTTGCAGCTAAGTGCTGCCAGGAGGGGCTGCCAGCCCCTCCTGCTTCCCCCTTTCCTAAAAAGGTGGCCAGAACACAGCCTAGGGTTTAAGAATACACATTATCTAGGCAAGTACTTATTCTACTGAGCTATCTCCCCAGCCCGAGAGCGCACATTATCTAAAAACCAGAAAATATTTCTGTCTCTCAAACCCCCAGAGCTCTGACTTCATGTGAATGACTTGATTATTCTAATATATTATCCTTCAGCTACACTTCTATATTCCAAATATTTTCCAACTTTGCTTGATTATGAGATTATTTCAGCAGGGTAGCAAGGGTCCTGACATTACTATCCATGGGTAGTTTTCTTCTCTACATTATCTCTGCTTGATAAACTTCTCATTTTTCAAGATCCAGCTAAACTGTCACCTGCATCATGAAACTGTAATTTTATTATTCCTAACAACATGTGTATAAGGTAAGATACATCAGGTATATTCTACAGATAAGACACAAAATTTGTCTTTTCAAACTAAGACAAGGCCTTGTATCAAACAAAACAAAACACAATAAAACAAAACAACACAACAAAACAAATGACTGAAAAAAAAAAAAAAAGAGTTAAATAGGCTAGCCAGATAGCTTAGTGGACTAAAGCACCTGCTTAGGCAGAGTGCAGTGGCCAGGGTTTGATCCCCGGTATGCCATGCTGGCCACACCCCCAGGGCACACTGAGAAGCGATTGAGACTGGATGTGGTGGCGCATGCCTGTTATCCCAGCACTTGGGAGGCTGAACAGAGGAGAATCACTACGAGTTCAATCTGCAAAGTGAGACCCTATAGACCCTGTACAAAATACATTTAAAAAAAAAAAGTTAACAACAAAATCCCCAAACAAAACAAAACAAAAAATAAAATCAAATGCCACAATCTATTAGTCTTCTAAGCTCATTTTCATATACACATTCCATAGTGTATACCATACTCCTCAGGAATCTCATTGATAGGTGATATAATCCCATTTGTTTCATTGAACCAAAAGAGGAAACTTTCTCCCAGCACTTAGGAGGCCGAGATAGGAGGATCCATGAGTTCCAGACCTACAGAGTGTGTTCAAGGCCAGCCTGAGCGGAAGCAGAATCTCTTGATTCCTGGTAGAGGAGCTGCTATCCAAGAAGTTGTCATATATGGAGAATCAAAACATGTTTTGAGAGCAAGCATTTTAAGTGCCTGAACAAGGAGAACATTTTGTAAATACTTAAATGTTCCAGCTGAGCAGAGACATCCTAACAAATACACGCTTGGTTATCTTACTCAATTCAGTAAAGATCATGTGCCTTGTGACAGAATCTGTGACTACTGGCACAGTGATCTCAGCTTCTCCTCAGGTCCCCAAGACAGGCTGTGTACAAGGCTGGGCCCTGCACCCAAGAACTCAGGCAGGCACAAGCAAAAACAAGGACAGAGGAGGAGACTGATTTATAAGAGGAAGATGACAATCAAACCCAGGTGGCTTGGGGGTGGGTGAGGATTTCAGAGTAAGGAACAGGATCTTGACCTCAGGAAGAAAATCCTCTTCCATCAAGGGGAGGAGAGGGCACAGCTGGGAGACAACACAAAAATGCTTGAGGTTAGAAAATGGCAGAGTAAAAAAAAACTCAAAAGAAATGTTTCCTTCCTCAAGCAAGAGGAAGAATTTAGTCACTTCTACCTGTAATAGAAAACAAAATCTCTTCACAAGACAGGGCTTGTCAAGGCAGGAAGGAAGGAAGGCTCCTGTCAACTCTATGGTATTCTCAGGGTGATTGGGATGTCTGAAGGACAGGGACACTTTTTAACTAGCCTTTCTATTGGTGACTTAAGTTCTGCTTGCCCTTATCTCTATAACTTCACAAGAACCTAGCCTTTGACTAATATTTAACCTTTAACCCTCACAGGAATCTCTAAGAAATACAACAAAATTCTGAGAATGAGGTAGAGATAGGGAAACAGCCTCAGCCCCCTGATCTCCTCAGAACAATGGCTGCAGGCTCCAGGTCTTACTGTTCCCCCTGTAGTTGGGCCACAGCAGCATGT